ACGCCTGTAGTTCTCTAGGTGTGTTCAAATGCAGCTTTTTTCCCCGAAGCAGGTGACGCAAGGCAACAACACTGTCGGCTTTCATCAGCGCTAGTTCTTTGGCGATGGTTTGGTGTGTCCCGGGCTTAAAGGAGCACTTCACCCATTTCAACATTAATCTTTATTGAAAGTGGGTCATATATGTAGTCGAAATGTAAAATAATTTTTGAATTTGGTACCCTCTTGACCGAGAAAAGACAGAAAATAACTTTAGGGCGCATTTGTATGTAAGACAACAACTCCCACAATGCACCACATTGCACAGCTCCACAAGCCACTCCCACTAATCCAGAACAGCGCAAACATCAGAGAAATCACTCTTTCGTCTACAAGGCTAACGTTAGCTGCCACCAGAGTTTTCATTCATTTCACACAAAATTTCTAGTTAGTTTGCTGTGGCGAGCAGGACGAGGGACGTGAGAGGACGGCGCGAGGCCGGTGGCGTGAGTGATAATGAACGACACCTGTGAGACGTACCGGTCTCGCATCTCTCACGGAGGAGCGGACGCATAAAAGGAGGAGCGACGACAGGGCAGATCGAGAGAGGAGCAGGCCTGATTTTATGTTGTGTTTTGTTTCTGTTGTGTGTGGCCAGCAGTCCTCCGTGAGGGGCTGCTGGCTTATACTTTTGTTTTGTATTTGTTTATTTTACTATTAAAATGTTTAAATGTTCGCCGGTTCCCGCCTCCTTCTTCCCACAACAATGAACCCCGTTACATTGGCAAACTCATTAGTGAATTACTCCTCGTTTGTCTTTCTTTCTATATGGTGAATTATTGCACGATACCGGGATGTTCAGTCAGGCGAAACTAGGATGGTTCACATCACAACACAAACGTCCGTGTGCTCGTCTGATTCAGAGATTTCGTCCAGGAGAAATTGCCATCGTTGAAATTCTCTGCAGCAGACGGACTCTATCTGTGTCCGTAGCACACAGCGAGAGCACAGGCACCAGCAGTCCGCCCAGCTTGAGCCAGTCCGGGCTCCTCGTCCGTGACAGGCAGGTCTTCTGCCTCGACTGCAGAAGCCGCAGCAGCCACCTCCTGTTCCTCCATCAGCCTCAGCTGCTCTTCACTATATTGCGGCTCGTAAAGATAGCCACGAACATCGGATTCGAGCAGCAGAATTTCAAAATCCTCTTCTTCCATATCATGTTTAGTTTCTTCCGTCATTGTCGTAACTTCCTATCTCCACAGCGCTTGTTAGCTTAGCTTCCAAACAAGATGGCTGATATTGAATTCAGTATCTGCAAGTGAAGTCCCACCCACTGATCTGTAATAGGTCTGTAGCGTGAGTGGGTCCCACACCCTGAATAAATGATGAGCTAGTGTTTGTAGTCTCAACCCTTATACAAAGAAATGGGACTTCCTGCTTTTTATGACGCAAAATGACGATTTTTACGTCATAAAAAGCAGGAAGTGGAACATTTAATCCTTATTTCTCCCATCTCAGGGGAAAATAAGGGAATAAACCATGACCATTCAAAAATATGACTGGGTTTCTAAAGATACAAAGCTTAATGCAAATGGGTGAAGTGTCCCTTTAAGAGATCCAACGAATGCCTGTGTTGAAAGCGCGAGTACTGCATGAGAAAAACTAAATAACTAAATTAAACTACTATATATAATGTTGAATATAATGTATAATAATTCAATGGAGGTATATTTGTGGGTCCTGATAATAATACACTAACTTTATTTTAATAATAATAAAGTAATAATGAAAAAAACTCTTCTTTATTTTGGCTTAAAATATCGCTATAGTACCGTATCACTTTTAAAAGTTTTCACTTTTATTGAAAACTTTTATTATTATTGTCTTAAACTTTATTTAATCTTATTGTCATAAGTTCGATTTTTTTTTTTTTTTTTTTTTCTATAATCAAACCCTTTCTTTCAGAGAGTTCTCTAGAGGTTGCAATCCATGCTTTCATCATGTTTCGGCTGGATTACTACAACTCCCTCTATTACGGCATATCAAAGACTCAAATATCCCGCCTACACATAGTTCAAAATGCAGCTAGATTCCTGAAGGGGCATAAAAAAATTATTATGTCACTCCCCTTCTGAAATCCCTACATCGGCTGCCGATTCACTATAGAATTAAGTATAAAATCCTGCTACTCATCTACAAATCATTAAATTATCATGCACCTACCTATTTGACAAATTTACTCCACCCCTACACTCCTGCAAGAGGTCTAAGATCGGAGGGTAACCTTCTCCTCCAAATCCCTAGAACCCGCTCAAAGACCAGAGGAAACAGAGCTTTTGAAGTGGCTGACCCCACTCTTTGGAATAACCTACCTAATCACACTGAGGCTTCCACTTTATCTAAGTTCAAATCCTGTCTTAAAATTCATATTTTTTCCTTGGCTTTTAATGTGCAGTTCTGTCTGGTTCTTATGGTGATTCTTACTGTATGTTTCTCATTTATTGTGTTCCTTTATGCTTTTATTGTTCAGCACATTGGTCGGCCTGTGGCTGTTTTTAAATGTCCTTTAGAATTAAACCGAACTTGAAATTTAATTTACTGTTGTGTGTTGTGCAGCGGACGAGGTTAAAGCCAAATGGGAAAACCTTAGAGATGCTTACAAAAATGTATTCTCGGTCAGCACCACCTATCGTGCAAACGTGAATTAGCTGAAGACAATCAATCATTTTGCTTTCAGTGTGAAAGCTCTGTGCGATTCGCTTAGCTTTATCGCGTCACGCTCAGTGTGAAAGGGCCTTTACACGTCATCAGCTTTTTTGTCTTCAGGAGCCGCTTGTTTGTATGTCCAAGATAAAGGTCTGTTGGAGTGTTTGACTCCATAGGGAGCTGGATGCACTCATTATGTTGCATTTGCAGTAAGAACTCTGCTCTTGCTTGATTTTCTAAAGAGGGATAAAAAACTAGCATTTGCGCAGAGCACTTTCGGCTCACGAGGGAGTTGAAGGCACTCATGGTGATGCATTCGCAGTGAGAGGCTCTGTTATTGCTTGATTCTTCTATAAGAATCTAGCGCTTGCAAGGTGTGTGCTCTGCTCTCAAGGGAGCTGAATGCATTCATTGTGATGTGTTTGCTGAGGGAAGCTACACCCATGCTTGGCTCTCTCTTGAGGGATGTGAGTTGAGCGTAGGCACCTCGCAGTTTGAGTCCTGTGGCTGCCAAGGTGGCAGGGCAGGATCAATAGTGGGGATTGAAGGTGGATCATAGGGAGGAGCCTTACTGAAGTTTTACTCTTTTGGGCTACTCCTGCTATGTTGTTTTAATGGATGCCCCAATTGAAGAGCAGCTTGCTAGCTATCTCGCCCCTGGGTCTGCGTCCTCTTTTAACGCTTCCTCTGCTCCTGCCTTGCCAATGGAGCAAACGCGTTCAGCTCTTGAGGATGAGTCGTGGTAAGGGAGCTCCCGTCTGGCTTGGCTTTTTTCACGTGGGATGAAAGTCTGGGCCGAATTCACAAAAATCTTCTTAAGAAATCCGCCCAATTTCCACACAGCAGTGCTGCCAGAGGATGGTGTCCTGCCTAAGGTTAGGACGCAGGTGTTGAAGCCCCGCACATTGAGTGGTACTATCTCCCGAGGCAGTCCAAAAAAAAATATATGCTCAAGCCACAGATCTATCCATCCGCGCTACAAAGCACACAGCCAGTGCATTGGTCGTTCTATGGTTGTTATAGTTGCCAAGAGGGGCATCTGTAATAAGGAAAAAGGAAAAATATTGATCCTCAATGCTTTGATCTTACACTCTGATCTCTTCGGTCTGCCAATGAGGCAGTCGTAGAGAAGTTTTCAGAGCTGGGGTCTCAGTCAGCAGCTTTCATGAGATATATCCCTCTCTGGAGGTTCATGAGGTTTGATGCAGGGTGAACAGACTTGTGTAGGACAGTATAGATTCCCTCTACTTTGCTTACCTCCCTCCCTAACTACTGTAGGGTTTTGAAGTAAGGATGTATGCTAGATTCTAATAAGTAGAGGAAGTTTGCTTGTGGGGCATCCCTCCATATTATCTGTCGCTTAACCCTTTCGCACGTACGATCACACCGGTGTGATCAGTCTTGGCTGGTCCCTAGAGCGTACGATCACACCGGTGTGATTAGAACAGTCAGTGCATCACGTGATCAACTGCTAAATTCAAATGTGCTTTCGCACGTTGGCTGGCGCTGAGCCAGAGACAGACGCACTCAGTGCTGTCATATATCACAACTATTGAGTGTTTTCAACCACATAATGTTTATTTTAGGTTTCAGACATTTAAATACACATAAGTACTAGCAAAAAAATGATTTTGAGTTTCCTGAGAAGGGGAATGAAAAGCAAACAACTCTTACTGTACACAATACAACAGACTTTTAAAAATGGTGGTTAAAATAAAATGCTGCGTGGAGTCAACCAATCAAAATGCTGCGTTAACTAATCAGCATGTTCAGCGCCCAAGGTCCACCCCCGAAAGTTCCTGAACTTTGAAAAAGCACTACCTCACGAGCAGGGACTTTCTAAGGGGGACATTTTTACCTGGAACTTCATTTAGACCCTGGTCCCTGTGGTCGAAACACACAGAGTACCACCCCAAAGTCCCTAGTTCCTGGGGAAAGTTCCTGCGGTGGAAACATGGCTATAGACATATGACTAGTGACTGGTCTGTGTGTGCAATTAAACAAACCTGAACATATATACGAATTAGAATTTTATAGAAATTTAACATATAGCAAATAAGTAGAATTAATGATTTATGAATAATTAGTTAAAATGTTACTGCCATTGTGAGAATAACATGTAATCATGTAAGCAATAGAAAAGTTACTGTAGTCTGATTACGAGTATTTTAAAATATAGGCCTAATATAATCTAATTACAAGTTTTTAATTTTTGGAATCTGATTATGTAATCCAGATTACATGTAATCAGTGACTACCCAGCACTCTGTATAATCTTGTCTGTAACAGATTTCTCTTTGTGTCTCTCTTCTATATTGTAGATATCATTCGCCAACCGTCAGAAGATGAAATTATCAAACTGGCCCCTCCCCCTAAAAAAGCATGAGGTCAATGTTCATGACCTCTGCTCCTCATCCCCGGCACTTCATCTTGCCCATCATAGTTACCAAACCACTCCCACCACCCCGCCCACATCACCTCCCAATGAACAGAAGCCAAGCAGCAAATCAGATTGCCAAGATGCTTTACAGCCACGCCCATGCCACGGCGGCATGGAACACATGAAGAACACGGAAGACAAAGAAATGGACAAAAAGACAGCAACCACAAGACTTGTAGTCTGGTTACAATTGTATAGTGAATGGGTCATAGGTCAAGTTGTGTGTCGGAATGAAAAACAATCATTCTGTGTTCGCTGACACTTGTGTCGAATATTGTATGTGTGAGAGAGAGTTTATTTGGACCCTTGATAGCATTAAGTGGGATTGTCAGAAGTTGGTCAGACCAATGTAATAGGGATTTTGCAGTTGATGTCTTAATGTGCCACTGGCCTAAGGTGTGAATCTAGTTGTGAAAGAGGTTTAACCACTGGACCACTGTTCCTTTAGACACATTTATTCCCTAGTTAGTAATGTGGGTAGACTTGAGGTTGGTACATTCCCTTTAAAAAAGCTCATATCAACATTTAAAAGTGTTACAGAGAATTCATCTCTGAATTTGTGTGATTGCCACTTAGAAAGCCAATATTTGCCTTCTTTAGAAATTAAATGCATTGTTGCAGGGTATGCAATTACCTAGTAGAGAATTAATACTGCTTTTTATATTTCTGCATCATACTTCTATGAATTGTAGTTTATTAAATTATCAGTTATATTATACAAAATGTTTATTATCAAACAACAGCAGTCTTATATATCATTATAATAGTGTTCTAGTACATATGGGAGACAACATTAATATCCTATATTAGATGTATAACGGGCCTAAAAACACGAAAAGTCCATCAAAACAGAACATGGTAGAACACAAAACTGATGAATATATATATATATATATATATATATATATATATATATATATATATATATATATATATGAATGTGTTTAGATTAACATTTTAACTCAATTTCTGCAGTATTTGCATCAGGAAATAGAAGGCATATATTTTTGTTAAAACTTTAAATTTGACTACTTCTACTGTGAATTGTTTATTCAGATGCCTCAGTATACCATTATATGAAACATTAGGATGATATCACATATATTTTCTGTTTATAATTTGTATACTGATAGAGGGTAAGAAACAGCTGCGACTAAAACGGAGATATTTACGTCAAGGATGTGGTCAAAATAAATAAATAATTATATGGTAATGAAATGGTAAATACATATCCATAAATTGCAGCACTCTATGTGGCCAAAAGTCTGTATGGATCACATTGTGGATCCAAACAGCGCAACATTTTTTAGGTGTTTTCTTTTATTTGTACTCTAACTTTTCTTGTTTCACAAAACTAGGCTATATTTTAATAAGTATGACATTGATTTGAAAAACACACATCTTTGCCAATCGTTCTAACACAGAATATTAAGATCATGCTGCGTTTACAAATATTAATATCATGATTATGATTGTGATATTCTTTGTGTTGGTAAGATTGCGCCTTTTATTGACACCATCTGCTGAAAGACTGTTCAAACACGACTCTAAATTTGCTTGATCACTGTGTTGTTGCTTAACCCCTGCAGACTGTTGTTTTCATATTATAAAGCCAGAACGGTTATTGAGGACATGCCATGCGTATTTTTATGCGTCTGCATTTCAACCCACGCATGAGGGCAGGATGCATCGTTCAGTTACAGGCTGTTTCTCTATTTATTATTCTGTTGTGTGATTTCATTGAATCTAAGAAAACAAGTTCTAAGACCATATCAAAATCGAATCTAGAACTACATATTTGTTAAAGTATTTTGAAAAGATAGACTGCAACTGGCTGTGAACATTTGTGGCCCTTTTAATTTGAAATAGTTACTGTGGATTTCTGAGGACTGTAAAGAATGTCCTGTCAAGTTTTAGATCAGTGAAATGTAAACTTTATTTCTGTTGTTGCCACCCAAGAAGGACAATTCTTTATCTTTTACATTCCGAGCCTGTATATTTGTTCCAAATATACTCAAAACGAGATATTTAGTAGAATGTTCATACAATGAAAGTAAATGGGGACAGGTCAAGGCCCCAAATGGACAAAAAAAAAAGTGTATATACTTCTTAGTCCATTTGGGGCCTTGACCTGTCCCCATTCAATATCACTGTATTTGTGTAAGAACCAATAGCATTTAGTATCAATGACTTCAAACCTGGCATGATGCCTCTTAATGTACTGTAACACATTTGAATGCACGTAAATCCCCTTGCATTGTATGCAACAGTTCTCCTTTTTCGTTCCAAGAAATAATAAAAGTCATACAGATTTGAGGGCGAGTAAATTACAGAATGTTCATTTTTGTCATTTTCCAAAGTGCAAGATCCAGATATATGCGACGAGTCACAAATAATCCTGTCAAAAACAGATTGTACCTGATTCTATTTATTAGATTTTTTATGTTGTTGTTGTTGTTGTTGTTGTTGTATTGATGTTTCTCAATTGTGTACAAATGTCATCTTGTGAATTTTGCGGTATGTGACATGTGGTGATGTTCCCTGTCTAGTGTCTCTCTGGACACACGGCCAAACGCTCAAATCAGTCTCATCGGACACACCGTGATCAGTCTTTGAATTGATTTGTTTTTCTGTTTGTTTTGTTCAGTTCTTCAGTAATGTTGTGGTTGTTGTTTTTTTGCATCCTCCGGTCCTGTCATCCGTGGACTGAGTTCTCTGTGATATCTGATTCTAGATCAGCTCTCTATATGCTTATGCTAGTTTTACCAACCAATCATAGACTTTTATAACGTCCCCAGACCAGCAACCAAGGGCTTCAGATGTCCTCACGCCATTTACAGTGGTTTTCAGTTCACACCTGATGTGGTTCTGCCGCTCACATATTGTGTGCATGAGCACCTGTAGGTTAGCCTTTGTTGAATGACAGCTTCGTCTATATCAAGGGCATATGTTAAGCACTGTGCTTTGCGCTTGAAATAATTTTACAAGTGTATTTTCAAAACAGCGCCTCAACTGGAGAACATTGGAATAGCCATATTGCTATCGCTCTCCCTTTTCCATGTTTCCTTTTTTGAACAATAGAGGCATATTCAGATGAATTTCCTCTGCCAGCAGGAAATAATGTAGAGCTCAATGGAATAAGCAGCGTCTTTCTCTAGTTTAATGCCACTTCCTTTCCTCTATGCAGAGAATATATTCGGTACACACGCGTCAACTCTAGACACATTTTCGATGTTGTTAATGACCACTACATGCAGTTCTCTAGAGTATTATGTGTTCGGCCAATACGATACTGTAAGAACTAAGAGACCACTGAAGCCATATACACATAATTCATGTCATTTGATTGTCAGATTGGATGTCACGGTATTAAAACATATCAGCCTTGATAATGCTGCAAAAGCTTTGTAATGATGAAGATTCATATTGGCATAACAGAAATCACTGAATCTAGCCAAACAAAAAAATGAACAACAAAAAAGAAAACAATTTGAAAACCTTTAGGGTGATTTGTCAAGAAAAGTACTCCTCAAAATAAATGTAATGAAAAATATAATTTGCATAAGCACACAATATGTATTGATATAATTATGTCTCACTACTGTAATAGAGGTTTTTATTTTGATGTATTTTTTTCCATTACAATAATGACAATGGGGGAGGATGTGCTTATTTGTCAAAATAATGCCACAATGCAAAAAAAAAAAAAAAAAAAAAAAGCTTTTGTTATCTTTAGCAAATGTTCTTTTTTTGTTTTGTTTTTGTTCTGACTGATGTTTTGTTCTTAAGTTGTACATACAAAAATATTGTGGATTTATAAAAGTGTTTTATTATTAATTTATTTAATGCAATTGTATCTTGTTTTGGTTGTACTGATGTATGTTTACTAATTGGACAAAATTGGAACGTCTATTCATAATTGTAAATGTGCGTGTGATGGCTCAGATTAGGTCTGTTATGTTGGTTTTAACATAGGGCACTGGGCTCAAGATCCTTTTCTATAATCTTCTGTTTTAATAACTTTACAGCATCATTTAAATGTGTTTTTGTCAATTTGTGTGTTGTTCCAAATGCTTGTTCTCTTTCTTAGTTATGCTTATCAGCATAATATGACAATTTTGACTGTGTAGTACCCATGCTTGTGTCATGTTGTGAAATGTTTGTATGAGAGGCCACTGGCTGTAAATGCAAGAACACCTTTAAGGTTCATTAATTTACGTACGTATCAAATTCCCCGTCAGAATGTTAAAAATGAGGTCTTGAGGAATGTGGAATCGGTTTGCGTGGAGATTGCAACACTTATCATTATTTATGTGATGCTGTTACGGAGATTATCAAAAGATTGTGAGAGTGATTTTGACGGTGTTGAAATATGGTGTAGTTTGAGGGAGTGGATTGTAGTGCAGTGCTTTAATGAATACAGGAACATTGATCATCACAGAACCGAGAAAAGAGAAATATGGTGATATAACTTCTGTACGGTGAATCTCACAGAGAAATTGGGCCAGTTTTAACCCAAAATTAAAACAATATATTATTTTATATGAAGACCGTCAAATGTATTTTAGGACCATTAAGACTTCTTTTACATTGTAAAATTGTGTCAGGTAACCATAATTGATTTATTTTCTGAATTAAAATCAGCATTAATAATAATAGTTAATATTATTCATTTTTATTATTTTAGGGTGAAATATGGCCCAAAACATATTCTTGCAACTTTCTTTTTTTCTTCACTTCACATATCTAAAATATTCGGGTGCACATGTAAAGACCTTGTAGAGAATGTTTGAGCTGAATAGCTCATGATAAACAAGTTAATGTTACTGCAGAAACGGAAATGTGTATAAAAAAAAAAATTTAAAAAAAAGGCAAATAGAGAAACGTCATATATTGGTAATGTACATTTGTAGCAGGAAAACACATTCAAATATAGAGCACATGCAAAATCGTGCGCATAAGAGCTATTCTTGTAACGTTTACACTGAGGATTAAAGCATGCTCTCATGCCATGACAAAGTGCCAACTGAATTCTTGTTTGTTCAGAAGCTTAAAACAGACTTTATTATGCAGAACTATTT